CCAGGAGGTGGCAGCCAAGTGTTGGACAACACAGATGGCCGCCTGCAGTTCTCCAGATGGAGGGAAGGGGAGGGACCCAGAGGAACTGGGACCCACACCTCACTCTCACTGAACAGTAAACTCATAACAAGCCAGTCTAAAACATGCCGGCAGGAAAAGATCATTAACCCATCTCCCTGTGTCTTGCAAGGTCTGAATCTAAGTCATCTTAGAATGACAATATTCTCTTAAAATGTTCATGAAAATACCACAAACTTGCCACGGACTCAAACAAGCATGCCATCAGTGAGACAGCCTGTTTTGCAAGTTTGGCTCACTGGCTCCAAAACTTTCATGAGGGATCCCCGGAGAAAATCGTCCATAAATTTTGCCCTGGGCTGGGCCCACGTTTTAAAAAGTATTGCCTTCCAAACAGTTTTTCCAGCAACAGTTAAATTTCCTCTCTCCTCTTAGACTATGAAAAGTCGTATTTCACTGGGCATGCAATAAAAACCAGAAATGGCTATCACAAAATTTCCATTAAGCATTTTTTTAATTTTTAATTGAATTAAAATTTAAAAGCACACATATCGGGCTTCCCTGGTGGCGCAGTGGTTGAGAGTCCGCCTGCCGATGCAGGGGACGCGGGTTCGTGCCCCGGTCCAGGAAGATCCCACATGCCGCGGAGCAGCTGGGCCCGTGAGCCATGGCCGCTGAGCCTGCGCGTCCGGAGCCTGTGCTCCGCAACGGGAGAGGCCACGGCAGTGAGAGGCCCGCGTACCACAAAAAAAAAAAAAAAAAAAAAATCCTACAAATTACTTATCAGTTCTATTATGGATGGGCATTTGGGTAATTTCCAGGTGTTGGCTATTTCCAATAGTACTGCTCTGAACATTCTGGTACCTGTCTTTTGTGGGAATATACACGAGCATTCCCGTATCTGGTACCCAATACCCTGGCAGAAGAATTGCTGGGCCCTAGGGTGTGTGTGTATTCAGCATTCAGCTTTGGTAGACAGATTCTGTTACACAGTAGACTCTGCCAAAGTGGTTCCATTAGACATTAGAGATTCTTGAAATATGGAAGATAGCTTGTGGATGCCACGACTGCTTTCATGGATCCCTTCAAGGTCTAAGGACACCAGTTAAGAATTTCTACTTACAAGAAATGTGTTGTGTTCTGTCTTCAGTGAAAACAGGTAACTCTATCCCTCATAACATTCTTCCTTACTTCAGTTATTTTGACGCTGTCACGAATTCCTCTCTCAGACCTGTTACTCCTGGACTGTGAAAACTTCCCTCACAGGTAATGCCCAGCTGAAGACTCTGTGCTCACCTGAGGCCCCTTTGTGTGATGGGGACCCTGAGGCTCAGCCTTATGTGATCATAGTGGGCGTTGGTGTGACCCATAACCACATCCTCTATAACACACGACCTCTGTCTTCAGTGTCAGGTAGAAAGGGAGGCAGAGCGGGGTCAGAAAGACACACGATTTGGGGTAGACAGACCTAGGTCTGGGCATGAATCTGGCCACTCTCTGGTGTAAACCTGGGACGTGTAACTAACAAGGACAGTTGTCCAGTCCCATCCATGAGCCCGTGACTAACGCCGCTTTTCTAAACCCAGCACCTTCCTTCCTCGTGGTTGAAAGGAGCGATTAGAACGAAATCAACATTCCTGACCATGCCCATCAGGTCCCACCTGAACAGAGATTCTCCTGAGCTTGTCTCCCCTACCCTCTCCTTTGCTCCCCGGTTGCAATGGGTCCCCTTTCTTCCCCTGCACACAGCAAGCATGGTGGCTTTTCAGAGCCTGTGCCCCTGCTGGTCTTAAACGTCATCCCCCTTGGAGTGCCCTTCACTGCCCAACTCTCACAAAGCAGGCCCTTCCCCGCTTTTCTCTATCCCATTAGCCGATTGAACGTTCTTTAAGCAGATAGCATTATGTGACATTTGCTTACGTGTTTATTGCCCTTCATAACTAGAACAAAAGATCCATAAGGACAGTAATGATGTTTCTTATCCATTAGTCTATTCCCCAGCACCTAGCATAGTCCCCGGTACAGAGTAGGTGCTCAATAAATGTTTGAGGAATGAATGATAGAGGTCCAAGTCAAAGAGTGTGCTGGCCCAGATTCACCTATCACTGATTGCCTTTGGGAAAAAAAATGAAAGCCCACGTCCCACTCATCATAGTTTGATACCCTTCCCCTCCTGAGCCCAGGATCAGCAATTGTGATGACTGGTGATCATCCACTGACCCCTGAACTCAGCGCTAAGATGCCCACTTGTCTGAGGACCCGGCATCTCTCTTACCTCATTTCAACAAATCCATGTCGTGAATTTTCTGTTCCACACAACTTGTGCTGATGCTTCACGGTGAAACACCACGACACCAAGAAGATTGTTTAACTTGTCAAAAATGAAAACTGTTGGCTGTAGTAAATGCAAACCTGGACCTGAAGGCTCTTCAAGGCCCAGATGCTGTCCCTTCTAGCTCTGTGGACTCTGGGGGCTAAGACAGGATCAAGGGGGAAGCCACCCAGCCAGACCAACAGTGCATGATCACAGGACACTGGGGCTGCCCAGCCTGGCTAGGGCAAGAAGCCCCGGTCTGTTCCTTGTGCCAAGTGGCCTTGGGCCAGCAGCTTCAAATGACTCCAACAGCTTTACCGGGAAGAAGAAGGGGCTTCATTGGTTGGAAGCCCTCAGATTTAAAAAACAATAGGTATCAGTGGTTTTGTCTTTTCCCGGAAAGTGTGAGTTCCTTGGGTATCCACTACCATGTTTTTGCTTTGCTGACTGCAGTGCTGGTCAATATTTGCAAGTGGTCCGGAAACAATGGAGATGTGGAGAAGCTGTAAGTGTTCATCCAACAGAAAACTTCAATACATAGGTTTCGTCTGACAGAAAATGAACCAAAATGATGCAATCGACTCTAATAGACCAGAGAATTTTAAAGATGGCTTGGCGCAGGCCCTAGACACTGACATAAAAATGGGCCTCGAATACCCTCTGATTATTCACAGCTTTGATCCTAAGGCACCTATTCCAACCCATCGGTGAACCGGAACCCAAATGGCCGGATCCCCCAGGCTTCTGGAAAGACCTCTCTCCCATCAGAACATAACCTTGCCTTTCCTCTTGGAAATCCCACTGCCATGGGCTCTCATGTCAACATTCATCCCAGTCCCAGGGGCGGAGCCAGAGAGAGAAGGAATCATCCACGCCCAATCCCATCTGAACCAGCTGTTCAGAACTCCGCGGAGTTCACTGCAGCCATGAGGTCGGGCTGCATCTAGTGATGACTAGGAACACCCCGCTGGGCCCCAGAAGCGCCAGGAGAGATCCTGGCTCAGGGTCCCTGTGTGCCCTTTGGCCAGTGTGGACACCTAGTGTCTGTGTGACATGGCTAGTATCCACCCATGGTTTCTACCTCAAAGACTCCTGGTGAGGAGATGGTGACGCTGACCCTGGGGCAGGAGCACACAGGCATCAGGTTGAGGCTCTGGGGGCTCATGGAGCCCACCTGGGTTTCAAAAGCCTTGGCTCTGCAGAGCTGCAGTGAGCCAATGCACACAGCTGGGCTCAGTTGGCAGATCAGGCCGGAAGAGAACACAAGGAATGTTGAAGCCGCAAAAACAAGAATAAGGAACCTAGGATGAGAGCCTGGAAGGAGCATGGAGGCCACAGCAATTAGCGTTGGCCCACTAGTGAGGCTTTTGGGGTCCCGTGCTGCCGCTCTAAGTGGCAATGGCCTGACAATTGTTCTTTAGAGACCTCTGATACTTAAACCTTTGATTATATCCACTTTCCTCGGATCACAGTTTATACTCTTATTATGGTGTAGTGTTCATTCAGTGACCTAAAAGGGCTCTAGGTCAGAGAATGTAAAAAACAAATGGTATATAGCTAACACATGAGGACTTATTTTTTAAAAATGTGAATTATTTGCCAACATTTTACATTGAGAAATCGCACATAAAAATCCATATTTACAATCTCTCTTGAGAAAGGCGAAGTTCTGACAAAGGCGAGCCTGCAGTCCAGCCTGGCAACACCCGGCCAGTGCTCAGAGCAGTCACCCCTTTGCTGAGGCCACAGGCTCTAGGTTCATTGCTACCCACCTGGCCTGCTTCCTCCTCTAAGCTGCTGGCCTGACAGGAATTTGATTTTGAGACCCCTGAACTCAGCACTTAGTGCACCAAACCGTGGGTGCCTATGTGGTGGCGAAACATTAATTGTTGTAGTAGCTGATGTAATTGTTGAGGGTTTGTTGTTGAAGATTCTATGCAGTACAATGCCCATTTCAGGGAGACAACATATGCATAGATCCTCACTGCACGAGCTTTAAACCAACAGAAAGATCAGCACAGGTTGATTTTGTAAAACACTGCGAAAATTCAAAGTGACAGTGATTGATGGGGTATAGGAACAGGGGCTCCATAAAGAAAGTGGGAGACCATAAATTGGAAGTTCATTGCTCACTGTCACACAGGGAATGAAAGACACAGCCTGCAGCCTACCGACACTGATACGAGGTGGACAGAGGCAGCCAGCCCCTCCTGGGTTTTTTGTTGTCCGGGGATATCCATGAAGAGGAGAATCTCTGACCCTAAAGTCTGACCTCATGTCAACTCAGGAATGGCCCTCGGAGGGACAATTTTTGAGCACTTAGTATGTACTGGCATTGAATGAGCCACTTCATCTACACTGGTCCATAGAAGAGGCAAACAGTGCAGACTTGGAGTGTGGGCTCATAGTTGGCTGACTGGGTTCAAATATTGGCTCATGCCTTACAAGCTGTCTGAACTTGGACATCCAAGCTCTTTAAAATTTCCTTTTCCCAACCTATAAAAGGGAAAACTGATGGAATCTACTATATTAGGAGGATTCAGGGTTTAGCAGAGTGGCTGGCTTATAGTAAATATACAGTAAGTAACTATTATTACTAAGTTTCTTTTTATCAAGTGAGGAAACTAAAAATCAAATAGGGTAAGCAACTTGCCGCAGATGGTACTCACACCCAGCTTCATCTGCATAAGGATGTCTGTGGTTCTGCCACCTTCTCTCCACTGATATCTTAGGTCTTCTTGGACAAAGAGTAGAGATCCTAAATGAAAAAGAGAGAAAGAATAATGCCTTCAAAGTACAGCACTAAATCATTCCTGGCTTCTGGAACATTTTTTTTCCCCTTCAATCCCATTGTCCTACCTGTCAGTGAAGCCATTTTCCTTGCACAAGTTAAACCCACTTCTCCGTGGAAAGACAATGTCATCCATCCCAGACACAAGCCATGCTTAATAGAGAATGGCAGGCCAGGGTCATCCGCAAAGCCGCGTGGAGCTCAGCCAGGCCTCCCACATGGAAGGCGAGCTCACTGCCGCTCAACCCCACACCTCCTGGACGTTCTCCAGGAACGAGTGACAGGTCCTGCCATGTGGGCAGCTGAAGGCATGGGGGCGGTGGGAATAGTACAGGAGATGGAAGAAACATCGGAGACGAGCAAAAGCCAGACAGATGGCATGGCCTCACTGTAGGTGGCGAGGAAACCACAGCAGCAAGCTGGCTAAACGGGCATATGCATGGCTGAAAGGACCAGGAGAGGGCAAACAAAGTCAAGTCCCAAAGGCACCAGCTTGGTGAAGAACAACCGCAGCCAGGAAACTAAAGGAGACGTTCATGGACCAGTGACGAATCAAACTCCAGTGGTGTGAGCAGCTTGGGACTGATGGGGAAGGGGGATACGGGACAGAAGTGGAATAATCAGAAACACGGAGCAGGCAGAAGTTTAGAGTAGGAGCCAGAAGCCAGCCTGGCCGGGTCTAAAAAATCCCGAACAAGAGACCACTAACCCAGGGATGGTGGGCGGAGTTAGGAAGCCTAAATGCACTAACACCAAGGGGTCTTCTGTTGTCTCAACAAGGGTGAGGGACCAGATGGATTTCTGTTGGAAGCAGTCACCGTCCCACTTCTCCGAGAAGCCATTGTTAATGGGCATATGCACATATATACAAACATGCAAGTATATACATATACACACATACATATTCTCAGATATTCAAAACAGGATTAGGCTACACGTATTGAACATATTATCCAATATTTTTTCACTCAACTGGATCAGGGACATCTTTCAATGTCAGTGAATTGACTGCCGCACGATCATTTTAGTGGCCTTGCTGTATTCCATCATGTATGTGAACCACAACTGACTTAGCCACTCTCTACTGCAGGGTATGTATGGTAGGGTTGGACGCTTTTTCACTGCTATAAGCCATACTGTTATTATCATTGGTTTCCTTGGAATTAATTCCTGGATGTAGACTTGGTGAATCAAAGGGCAGAGGAATTTTTAAATCTTTTACTGTATAAGAAAAAAGGGGGGGAGGCGGAGGCTAAACCACTTTACATTCTCACCAGCAGTGTGAAAAGGCAGTTTTCTACACACCCTTCCCAACACTATATATTATCATTACTTTGCCAATTTGCTAAGAAAAAAAAATGCCATGCCAGTTTTCTATCTGCAGTCCTCTGCTTACTACAGAGACTGAACATTTTTATAAGTGTATCCGTAGCCAAGTGCAAGGTTAATCCCCCTACAGGAAGATGTCATTGAAAGGGGTGGATAAAACGGGTTGGCTGGCTGCTCAGACCCGGCCTCAGAGAGAGATTCCTTCTTCACACTCGCAGATTCTATCATGGGTTCAAGGGGCTGCACCTCAGCTTTGCAAATGCAAAACCTGACTTCTTCTATTCACCCAAGTGTGTTCTCACTCTGGGAACAGATGTTTGCTAAGAAAATTCACGGGAGATGGGTTGTTACGCCAGGATGCTAATGTATCAACTTACAATAAAGAAGTATAATCTTTCCAACAATGGGAATATTCATGTCTGGAAAACTAGGATACTCCCTTCTGGAAAACAAACTAGGAATCCAGTTACTTGACGAATAAAAACATATCCCCAGAGACAGAGACGAGCAGCAAGACAGCATTTCTAGAGACCAGAATACATCTGCAGGCAGATTCAGAGTCCACCGCGCCAGTGAATTCTATCTCTAGCTCCACATGTCTTCAGGACAGTTACCGTCACCAAGCCCATCCAGAGATCAACTCCCTTCCCAGACGTGGCCAGGAGAGGGTCTATGGCTGTGGACGACCCACATGATGATCCAGCTAACGACTTCAGGTCCAGTCACCTCCTGCTCTCACTTACAAAGTTAATCAGTCACACATGGGCACAAAGCCAAGAGCCTCCACTGACGCTCTGCTCTAACCTTCTGGGCCAATCAACCAACAATCTGTATCCTCTCTCTATCTTGGTCTGTCTCTTCTGTCTATCTAGGTCTTGGTCTTTGTCTCTGTCTCTCTGCCTCTGTCTGTCTGTCTCTCACAAACACACACAAATACACACACTCTCTCTCTCTCTCCCCGTTTTTTTGTTTTCTCATACCGTGGTCCAAATGTTTTCCATTTTGCTTTAGCCGTCTTTTATTGCATGAATCCACGTTTTGTCTCCCCACCTTGTACCTGTCTGAGACCGCCCACTGGTTCTCAAATTAGGATGTATGTACCCTGGAGGGTTCACCAAGGCTGGCCCAGAGTTATACTTGGAGGCAGAGGATAAACATGGCTCATCTATGAAAACTCATTTTTCTAAATGTTACATAATTTTAAACATTTTGAAAGTAGATATGTAGCGGAATACAAAATGAATGAGTTCTTCATAGCAAATATAATTTTTGAAAAAAAAAAGAGACAAAGAAATTGCATGTTGCCTACAATTGCTGATTAAACTCCTAACCAGTCCTCAGCCTCCCGCACCCACACCCCACCATGGGAGGGCTATGCACCCCAGTCCTGTGCCTATTAAAAACACTTCGGTGGGAAAGTTTAGGAAGCACTAGTAACCCCTTGGGGTAAAGGATAAGAGCAAAAATCAGACCTGGGGTCAGACAGACCTGAGGTCAGAGAGCCCTGGGGTCAGATGGACCTGGGGTCAGATAGACCTGAGGTCAGATAGCCCTGAGGTCAGATAGACCTGAGGTCAGATGGACCTGGGGTCAGATAGCCCTGAGGTCAGATAGATCTGGGGTCAGACAGACCTGGGGTCAGACAGCCCTGAGGTCAGACAGACCTGGGGTCAGATAGAGCTGGGCTCAGACAGACTGGAGGTCAGACAGAACTGGGGTCAGATAGACCCGAGGTCAGATAGACCTGGGGTCAGAGAGACCTGGGGTCAGAGAGACCTGGTGTCAGATAGACCTG